GGCTGTCAGTCATGTTTTGAGACGTCTCAAAAAGAGCGGAGCCGTGGCGAGGCTGTCAGTCATGTTTTGAGACGTCTCAAAAAGAGCGGAGCCGTGGCGAGGCTGTCAGCCATGTTTTGAGACGTCTCAAAAAGAGCGGAGCCGTGGCGAGGCTGTCAGCCATGTTTTGAGACGTCTCAAAAAGAGCGGAGCCGTGGCGAGGCTGTCAGCCATGTTTTGAGACGTCTCAAAAAGAGCGGAGCCGTGGCGAGGCTGTCAGTCATGTTTTGAGACGTCTCAAAAAGAGCAGAGCCGTGGCGAGGCTGTCAGTCATGTTTTGAGACGTCTCAAAAAGAGCAGAGCCGTGGCGAGGCTGTCAGTCATGTTTTGAGACGTCTCAAAAAGAGCAGAGCCGTGGCGAGGCTGTCAGTCATGTTTTGAGACGGCTCAAAAAGAGCAGAGCCGTGGCGAGGCTGTCAGTCATGTTTTGAGACGGCTCAAAAAGAGCAGAGCCGTGGCGAGGCTGTCAGTCATGTTTTGAGACGGCTCAAAAAGAGCAGAGCCGTGGCGAGGCTGTCAGTCATGTTTTGAGACGGCTCAAAAAGAGCAGAGCCGTGGCGAGGCTGTCAGTCATGTTTTGAGACGGCTCAAAAAGAGCAGAGCCGTGGCGAGGCTGTCAGTCATGTTTTGAGACGTCTCAAAAAGAGCAGAGCCGTGGCGAGGCTGTCAGTCATGTTTTGAGACGGCTCAAAAAGAGCAGAGCCGTGGCGAGGCTGTCAGTCATGTTTTGAGACGGCTCAAAAAGAGCAGAGCCGTGGCGAGGCTGTCAGTCATGTTTTGAGACGGCTCAAAAAGAGCAGAGCCGTGGCGAGGCTGTCAGTCATGTTTTGAGACGGCTCAAAAAGAGCAGAGCCGTGGCGAGGCTGTCAGTCATGTTTTGAGACGGCTCAAAAAGAGCAGAGCCGTGGCGAGGCTGTCAGTCATGTTTTGAGACGGCTCAAAAAGAGCAGAGCCGTGGCGAGGCTGTCAGTCATGTTTTGAGACGGCTCAAAAAGAGCAGAGCCGTGGCGAGGCTGTCAGTCATGTTTTGAGACGGCTCAAAAAGAGCAGAGCCGTGGCGAGGCTGTCAGTCATGTTTTGAGACGGCTCAAAAAGAGCAGAGCCGTGGCGAGGCTGTCAGTCATGTTTTGAGACGGCTCAAAAAGAGCAGAGCCGTGGCGAGGCTGTCAGTCATGTTTTGAGACGTCTCAAAAAGAGCAGAGCCGTGGCGAGGCTGTCAGTCATGTTTTGAGACGTCTCAAAAAGAGCAGAGCCGTGGCGAGGCTGTCAGTCATGTTTTGAGACGTCTCAAAAAGAGCAGAGCCGTGGCGAGGCTGTCAGTCATGTTTTGAGACGTCTCAAAAAGAGCAGAGCCGTGGCGAGGCTGTCAGTCATGTTTTGAGACGTCTCAAAAAGAGCAGAGCCGTGGCGAGGCTGTCAGTCATGTTTTGAGACGGCTCAAAAAGAGCAGAGCCGTGGCGAGGCTGTCAGTCATGTTTTGAGACGGCTCAAAAAGAGCAGAGCCGTGGCGAGGCTGTCAGTCATGTTTTGAGACGGCTCAAAAAGAGCAGAGCCGTGGCGAGGCTGTCAGTCATGTTTTGAGACGGCTCAAAAAGAGCAGAGCCGTGGCGAGGCTGTCAGTCATGTTTTGAGACGGCTCAAAAAGAGCAGAGCCGTGGCGAGGCTGTCAGTCATGTTTTGAGACGGCTCAAAAAGAGCAGAGCCGTGGCGAGGCTGTCAGTCATGTTTTGAGACGGCTCAAAAAGAGCAGAGCCGTGGCGAGGCTGTCAGTCATGTTTTGAGACGGCTCAAAAAGAGCAGAGCCGTGGCGAGGCTGTCAGTCATGTTTTGAGACGGCTCAAAAAGAGCAGAGCCGTGGCGAGGCTGTCAGTCATGTTTTGAGACGGCTCAAAAAGAGCAGAGCCGTGGCGAGGCTGTCAGTCATGTTTTGAGACGGCTCAAAAAGAGCAGAGCCGTGGCGAGGCTGTCAGTCATGTTTTGAGACGGCTCAAAAAGAGCAGAGCCGTGGCGAGGCTGTCAGTCATGTTTTGAGACGGCTCAAAAAGAGCAGAGCCGTGGCGAGGCTGTCAGTCATGTTTTGAGACGGCTCAAAAAGAGCAGAGCCGTGGCGAGGCTGTCAGTCATGTTTTGAGACGTCTCAAAAAGAGCAGAGCCGTGGCGAGGCTGTCAGTCATGTTTTGAGACGTCTCAAAAAGAGCAGAGCCGTGGCGAGGCTGTCAGTCATGTTTTGAGACGTCTCAAAAAGAGCAGAGCCGTGGCGAGGCTGTCAGTCATGTTTTGAGACGTCTCAAAAAGAGCAGAGCCGTGGCGAGGCTGTCAGTCATGTTTTGAGACGTCTCAAAAAGAGCAGAGCCGTGGCGAGGCTGTCAGTCATGTTTTGAGACGTCTCAAAAAGAGCAGAGCCGTGGCGAGGCTGTCAGTCATGTTTTGAGACGTCTCAAAAAGAGCAGAGCCGTGGCGAGGCTGTCAGTCATGTTTTGAGACGTCTCAAAAAGAGCAGAGCCGTGGCGAGGCTGTCAGTCATGTTTTGAGACGTCTCAAAAAGAGCAGAGCCGTGGCGAGGCTGTCAGTCATGTTTTGAGACGTCTCAAAAAGAGCAGAGCCGTGGCGAGGCTGTCAGTCATGTTTTGAGACGTCTCAAAAAGAGCAGAGCCGTGGCGAGGCTGTCAGTCATGTTTTGAGACGTCTCAAAAAGAGCAGAGCCGTGGCGAGGCTGTCAGTCATGTTTTGAGACGTCTCAAAAAGAGCAGAGCCGTGGCGAGGCTGTCAGTCATGTTTTGAGACGTCTCAAAAAGAGCAGAGCCGTGGCGAGGCTTTCAGTCATGCCGGGAAAGGTAAATGTCTAATGGGGTTTGGCTAGGTAAGGCCTCGGATCGGATAGGGCCCTGAGCTCCAATCAGGTGCCACCACGTGGGGGCCATGGGGTTGAGGGCGTACCTGTGACAATGACCCGCTGTTGTGGCACGGGAGGGGGAGACGGCAGCTGAAGCGGGTCCCTGTGCTGCGGTAACCGCTGCTGTGGGGAACGTGCAAATGGGGACGATGGGGACCCTGGCGGTGCTCCGGTGCTAGTGGAGAAAGGGCGGAGGGAGTGAGGGGTGGAGTACGGTGACAGGGAGTGAGGGGAGAGGAAGTGCGGTGAGAGGGGAGGCAGCTGGGGGAGGTCCTTGTGTTGCGGTGATGGCTGCTGTGGAGAACGTGCAAATGGGGACGACGGTGGTGCTGTTGTGCTAGTGAAGAATGAGGTGAGTGGGAGAAAGGGGAGTGATGGGAGTGATGGGAGTGATGGGAGTGATGGGAGTGATGGGAGTGATGGGAGTGATGGGAGTGATGGGAGTGATGGGAGTGATGGGAGTGATGGGAGTGATGGGAGTGATGGGAGTGATGGGAGTGATGGGAGTGATGGGAGTGATGGGAGTGATGGGAGTGGGAGTGAGCGGAGTAGGAGTGAGGGAGGGGCGAGCTTGAAGAGTTGGCGGCCAGTGTGGAGGGGTTTCGTGAAAAAAGGAGTGTTTTGAGACGTCTCAAAACACTCCTTTTTTCAGTTGGCGGCCAGTGCGGAGGGGTTTGAGGGATCTTAAGCTTGGTACGGGCGGGAAGCAGACGAGAGCATGCGAGACAACCCCTGCGCCAATGAGGAGTGTAAAAACACATGAATGGACGCTAAGGTTAGCATTGGATGAGCACCGGCCATGGAGTGAGTAAAGGCCTGGAGAATGCTGGTGTGAATGGCTATGCTGGGAAACGTGCTACCCGGCAATCTAAAGTGCAAACTTGTTCAAGTCGAATGAGATTCGAGAGATGTGGGACAGCGAAGGAAGGTGGTCAATTCGAGGTCGATTCGACTCTGACAGGATGTGTCGCTGCTGCCGATGCTGTAAATGCACCAGCTGCTGTCAATCACGCGAACGATCCTGCTGCTGCTGTTTTCGCGAGCACGCTTGCTGCCGATGCTCGAAACGCACCTGCTGGTGAGATTTGCTGTTGCTTGCAGGCCCATGAACTTACCTGCTGCCGCAGATGCTGCTGCGCGCACCAGCTTCTTGCGCGCACCTGCTACTGCCGCGGATGCTGCTGTGCGCACCTGCACGCTCATGAGCTTCTAGCGCGCACCTGCTGCTGCTGCGGATGCTGCTGCGTCTTCCTCGTCCCAGCAAGGCTTGCGCACATGCACCCGCAGCTTTGCTAAAGCATGTGCAAGCGAGGCTTGCACACATGCACCCGCAGCATTGCATCTCTGAGGGAGGGAGGCAGGAGAGAGGACTAGCAGGACCTTGGAGAGAAGTGCTGGCAAGAAGAACGGATAGGAAGGAGGGAAGGGAAGGATAGGATTGGTCTGGTACGGGGTCGGGGCTTGGTTCGTGGAAAGAAAAGGCCTGAGTCTCTGGCCACACTCTGATCTGACACGCACATGAGGCTAATTGCCTGAAAAGGCCTACGGTAACCTGAGTTCTACCTGTTGAGGTTTTAGTTCCCACAAGGCTGATTGCCATGACACCCTGTCCAGTCAGGACCAGGAGGAGATTCAGATCAGAACACTAACGGTATTTGTATCAGGGTAATAATATAATGAAGTCAAAAACATTAGGCTAGTACAACGAATTCACCCCTGATAAGGTCACTACCGTATGTTGGATCCTGGCCACGAAACATATATATAGGTAAGCGCCTCTATACAAATGGTGCGTCCTATTAGAATAACCACTGAGTCAGAACACGTGGCAGTGTGCTATTGGAGCTGGCCTACACCGTGTGATATAATATCCTGACCTCCAGGTCAGGGAGATCCCTGAAGAAACCCAGTCTGCTTGCTGTGTGCAGTATTGTAGAGACATGAGCTTGCCTACACTGTGATATCCTCTGACCTTTAGCTTGACTACACTGTGGGCCAGGGAGATCCCTGAAGAAGTCTAAACATGCAGTACTGTGGAGACCGTTTCAATACTGTTACCCTATGAGAGTTAGCCGATTCTCGGAGGAACGCGAACAATACCCTCCTTATCGACGAAGATACGAACGCGGTTTGTGCGATAATCCATTGTTGCGAATCCCCTACTCGGTATGATTCGCACGTCCCAGTTACACTCTGGCATGGATGTCAAGATGTAATTGCGAGCCTTTTCGCCCGTCATCCCAACCACTTCCGGCCAAGAAGTCTTGCTGCCATGGGTAAAAACAGGGGAAGATAGGGAAAAGTATGGTTTGAGCTAGGTGCGGTACGTTACACTCTGGCATTGATGTCGAGATGTAATTGAGAGCCTTCTCTCCCGTCATCCCAACGACTTTTGAGTCAACTCAAAAGTCAGCTCTGTAATTGAGAGCCTTCTCTCCCGTCATCCCAACGACTTTTGAGTCAACTCAAAAGTCAGCTCGGTAATTGAGAGCTTCTCTCCCGTCATCCCAACCACCTCGGGCCACGATGTTTTGGTGTTATGGGTAAAAAACGGGAAGATAGTGGAACATATGGTTTGAGTAGGGAGCGGTCAGAGACAGGAAGACCATTCTTTGAAAGGTCGAAACGTGATGGGAAGGGAGAGAGTTCTGAAGTTCATGGGCTGAAAAAAATGTGGTGTGGTTTGCGACAGGAAAGAGGAGTACATCGGGGGAGAGGGGAGTACATCGGGGGAGAGGGGAGTACATCAGGGGAGAGGGGAGTACATCAGGGGAGAGGGGAGTACATCAGGGGAGTACCGTAAAAACACACACACACACACACACACACACACACACACACACACACACACACACACACACAAACACACACACACACACACACACACACAAAACAGGGGCCACTGCGTAAGCATTCTTGAAAAAAGAAGGGCCACTTCGCAACCCACCTGCTACAGTTCTCCTCAGCGATTTGCTTCGGTCGACGGGGCTTATTGGCGCCGCCGCTGCCGCCGCCGCCACCGTTCTTGTTCGTCTGCGCGCCACCGTTCTTGTTCGTCTGTGCGCCGCCACCCCCGCCGCCATTCTTGTTCGGCTGCGCCCCGCCGTTCTTCTGACCATTCGGCGCATTTCCATTCTTCGCGTTTCCGTTCGCTGGCAGCTTTGGCGAAGGTCCCCCCGCCGCAGTGCCGTTCCCCCTCTTCGGTCCCCCCGCCACAATTCCGTTCCCCCTCTTCGGTCCCCCCGCTGCAGTGCCGTTCCCCCTCTTCGGTCCCCCCGCCGCAGTTCCGTTCGCCCTCTTCGGTCCCCCCGCCGCAGTTCCGTTCACGCGATGGTGCCCCTTGTTCGGATGCCCGCCCTTCGTTCGGTTCCCTGCCGCTACCGTCCGATTCCCCCCATGGCGCGGGTGGCGAGGAGGCGCGGTGGTGTTTTTCCCCGTGACTGGCGGAATCTCCCCCCCGGTGGGCTGCTGCTTAGGCGGAAGAGTGCGCGAGGAGGCGAAGAGCGGAAGCAGCGCGACAGAGACGAGGAGGAGCAGCAGAAGGATAGCTGGGCGAGGAAGCTTCATGGTGACTCTACCAAGCGAGCGTTTAGAAAGCTGTGGTAAATATATCAAACACCCTTGCCGCCTCTGATGTCGTCTGCCGCCTCTGACGGAGTTGGGAGGGGGTGCAGACATATGGGGTGGGGGTGGGGGGGGGTGGGGGGGGGGGTGAGGGGGATAAGTCGAGCCTCTGTGACTCTGAGCTTCGGCTAGCCGAGAATTTGTGACTCTCAGCCTCGGCTAGCCGAGCCTCTGTGCATCTCAGCCTCGGCTAGCCGAACCTCTGTGCATCTCAGCCTCGGCTAGCCGAGCCTCTGTGCATCTCAGCCTCGGCTAGCCGAGCCTCTGTGCATCTCAGCCTCGGCTAGACGAGCCTCTGTGCATCTCAGCCTCGGCTAGCCGAGCCTCTGTGCATCTCAGCCTCGGCTAGCCGAGCCTCTGTGCATCTCAGCCTCGGCTAGCCGAGCCTCTGTGCATCTCAGCCTCGGCTATCTTATATTATTGGGCTCTGAGCCTTGGCAAATCTTTCCGCCGACGAAGTCGCGACGAGGATGGGAGGAGGATGGGAAAGGATGGGAGGAGGATGGGAGAATGGTGAGACGAGGTTGCGACGACGATCGACAAGCATGGGATGAGGATGCGACGAGGGGTGGGGGAGAGAGGTGGTGAGGTGGAAGTAGCTGTCAATCCTGACGTCACATGGTTCGCTGTACCTACGATAGCTGACATTGCGTAGACTCAACGTCGTAATTCGCAGTGCCTGCGACAGAATATCGTACCGCTTGAATCTGAGTCGCTGACACAAAGGGGGCGGCCCAACGCGATGCAATGCTGCTGTTTCCGCCGCGAAATGGTCCTGGCGTGGGTGAAGAAATGGGTGGAAAGGGGCGAGTGGGAAAGGGGGGAAGTATATTGAATTTCTGCTCTTGCTGCGACATTTTTGTGTTGGAGAGGACTGGAGAAGGATGGAGGAAGATTGGAGGGGATGAAGTGAGGCAGAGAGCGGTAAGAACGGCGGGTGGGAGAATGCCGCCGAGGTCGTCTCAGAGTTACGAAGTCGCCTTGCGCCAAAATGTCCCAAAGTGGGCCGGACTTTCAAGACGGAGAGAGGAATGCTAGAGGTCAATCTTCGCGTAGACAGAAACGAAGGGCTAGAGAGGTTTCAAGAAGAGGGGAGAAGGAACGTGGTCCGGAGCCGTACCCTGTGGGATGCGTTGGAGAAGAAGAGCGGAGGTGAACGAAATATAACTCGCAATCCCGAACCTTCTAAAATGCGGTTTTGGAGCCTAGTTCCAGACGCCGATGCAATGGTTGCCGCGCTGCTAAACGTGGAGATGCACTGATCGTTGATGACTTAGGCACCTACGCATTAGCTTTATAAATACAATTTCCGACTCGAGAGAAGACGTTGGCGGACGGAAACGTGGAGAGCACGGACCGGGCGACAATGTAAAGATTTCGGACTTTCAACAGGCGAGAAGCTGCTTTGAACCTGAATACATACAACAATGCTGTGTACGAGTCGCAAGAAGCCTTTACTCAGTGGTCCAACTTCGTTATTCATGGCTTCTAGAGCTTGAGGGTGATTTTGCCCCAGTTTGACCCCTTGTCCCAATCACCAAGTCGGGGTTTGATTGGGACGTGAGGTTCCCGCCTAATTTGGCGCACGTCCCAAAAGGCGCGCCGCGCATGTGCGATTCCATGGCCGAGTTGGATCTGCCAAGCAAATGTACCAGTGAAAGCAACCGAACCGTACGATCCAATCTCATCTTGGTGACGGTGACATTTGCGCGGCGCCACCAATGTCAGAACTGTTTCGAGGGCAGCCGTCACAAATACACTTTGGGTTACGTCATTTCCAACAGACTTTGGGTTCGAAAAAACGGCGGGAGGTGCCCCTGTCACTGTGGATCCGCGATATTGTCGGTCAGCAAACACGAAGAGCGATCGTGGTGGTGAGTGCATTACCAGGCGGATTGAATGTGGAACTAAAATGCCCTTTTTCCCGCCAAACGTGGCCCGCAGGGGCAGCAGTAAAAGCGAACCACACAAGGACACACAAACGAATTTGACTGGCTGAAGAATAGCTTCGTTGTAACAAGCGGCTGAAAGTCAACGGGGTCAGGCGCATGCAACCTGACACATCTCGAGAAATCAACCCCCACGCTACCCGTTATAACAAGCACTTGCTGCGTAAGAACCACACACTAAGATGATTGCAACAGTATTAGTGAAGCGGATTAAAAATGGGAGTGCAGTGAACCCCATCCTAGCTTGAGGTAGACTCATCTTGGGTGGAGGTTCTTTGAAGTGTATAAGGGCTTCTGACTGTTAAATCAAGCATGTGAAATATGCAATTCTGGTTGCGGCAAGGTTGCAGTGACTCTCCAGACCCCTTTGTGGAGGGGCATGCTACAGACTTGTACATATTTGTCAAATGTGGTAGCCTATAGTGAGGTTTGTCTTAGGGAGTACAAAAGTTAGGGTTAGCTACTTGTACCCCAACCAACATGAATGCATCATCAATTCCTCAGTTTGACATGGTATCAGAGCCTCTTACCAGCCTCTGGCCACCTTTGCTGCTGAGCCGGGCTCAGGTCTCTACACTCTTCACACTGGCCCGAGTGCGCAGCAGCAGCCGCAGCAGCAGCAGCAGCAGCAGCAGCAGCCCCAGCAGCAGCAGCAGCCGCAGCAGCAGCCGCAGCAGCAGCAGCCGCAGTGGCAGCCGCCCCTATTGCCACCGGTCCCTGTTTCGCCCCCCGTTCGAGTCCCCGCGTCTCACCAGGTTGCTCCGTCCCCCCAGGTAGCTGTGTCTTGTCAGGTTCCTACGTCTGGTCCAGTCGCTGCGTCGTGCTCCTGCCGGTCGCTTGCCCACCCCACCGTTCTGTGGCACCACCGGATGGGGCACCCTTCTCTTCCTTTGTGGAGGGGCATGCTACAGACTTGTACATATTCGCTATCATCAGCTCAAATAGATGATTCGTCCAAATCAACAAAATGCAAAACTTCTTCAGTGGGGCAAAAATGTCAGCACCCTTGCTGGGCTTGATGGGGTTGTATTTGTGTTCAGCAGCAGCAGCGGCCTATTCGAAGCTGGTAACCTGGGCCTTCTCACAGGCAACAACAACACACACCTAGTATTGCCTGGAATGGAACCAACTGTTGAGCTGAGAACAAGAGCCTCACACCAAGCTCCTCAGCTGGATTTGATGAAGCTTAGTGACATGAGACCATACTTCCTTTAAATTTAGAAAGCTTGCTTTCTTGTTGTAGCAATGGCATCGTCTCATTTCAAATGGGTTTAGAACAAACAGGTCCAAGCTGACATCAAGGAATTTTCGTAGCACAATTTATTATCACTTACTATCCTAGGGGGTGGGTGGGCGGGCAACTAGACTAAACCGTTTGAAAAATGAGAGACGATGGTGGAGGGAAATGACCTCCAGCCCACGTTTTGTACTCTAAAACGGACGTTTAGCGCGGTTCGCCGACGACCATTGCTACATTACAAGCCGCTTCGCTTTCAAAATACATAATTTTGAAAAGCGTTACAGCTTTTAAAAATATTCATATTTAGAAAGCTTGCTTTCTTGTTGTAGCAATGGCATCGTCTCATTTCAAATGGGTCTTCTGAGACATGTGTCGTGTCGGTCGCCGTTGTTGCGCTAGTGACGTGACATGTTGCGCAAGGGAGAGGGATCGTGCTGGGTCTTGGATGTGCCTCGATGCTCCCATCAGCTGGTCTGCGGCAGGCGTGATGTACGTCTTCTTCGCGGTGTCGCTTCTGTCAAATGATATATGTAATATATATGTGTACGCTGTAGTGGGGTAGCCAATATGGGGTATAGCCCCTTTAGGGTTTCATATTTGTACCCAACTTCATCCTAGTTCATTCATCCCTGCTAGTTCTTTCAACATGGTATTCAGAGCAGGAGGTCCCTAGGACCTCAGGATCGATTTTTTTTAGGGCCCACCACCAACCGCTCGCGGTTACTGTGCTACCCCGCGCCCTGCCTTACCCTGCCTTGCTGCCCGTCGCGCTGCCCCGCAGCCCCGCGCGCCGCCCGTCGCGCTGCCCTGCAGCCCCGCGCGCGCCCTGCCGCTGCCCGTCGCGCTGCCCTGCAGCCCCGCGCGCCGCCCGTCGCGCTGCCCCGCAGCCCCGCGCGCGCCTTGCCAGCCCGTCACGCTGCCCCGCAGCCCTGCGCGCCGCCGTCGCGCTGCCTTGCAGCCCCGCGCGCGCCCTGCCACGGCCCGTCGCGCTGCCCCGTGGCCCCTCGCGCCACCTCCTGCGCTGCCCCGCAGCCCCGCGCACTGCCCGTCGTGCAGCCTCGTGGCCCCACGCACCGCCCGTCACGCTGCCCCGACCCCGTGCGCCGCCAGCCCTACTGCCGCGGCCGCCTGCCCCACCCGCGCGCTGCCTGCGCTGCTAGCGCGTCGCCCAGACAGCCCACGCGCAGCTTGCGGCTGCTTTGCGCGCCGCCCTTGCCTGCTGCCTGTGCCTGCTGCCTTTGCCTGCTGCCTGTGCCTGCTGCCTCTGCCTGCTGCCTTCGCCTACTGCCTTTGCCTGCTGCCTTCGCTTGCACTGTGATTATGGCGACGCTTAATGTTCTCGCGTTTGAGCCTGACGGTCGCCCGATTGAGTTTGCCACTTGGCTCGACGACCTGCAACTGTTTCTTATGACTGATGCAAAAGACGGCGTTTCACTGTTCGATCACGCGTCTGGCACTGCCGTTGCTCCTGCTGACACTGCTCCCGCTCTTGACTACTCACAGTGGCAGACTCGCGATGCTGCTGCGCGCCTCGCTATTCGCAACCATTTGCCGATCACTGAGCGCGCGCATTTTAGCCAGCACAAGACTGCTAAGGCACTGTATGACGCTGTAGTTGCGCACTTCTCATCCCCAGCCACTGCAGCCGTAGGTCGTCTCATCCTGCCCTACCTGTTCCCAGACCTGTCCTCGTTTGCCACCGCTGAGGACCTTATCTCTCACCTCCGCGCTAGTGACGCTCGCTTTCGTGCCGCCCTTACAGACGACTTCCTCGCCCAGACCCCCCCCCCCCCCCCCCGTTGTACTTTACCCTCTACATCCTCGTCACTAACCTCCCTGACACTCTCAGTTCAGTCAGGGACCACTTCCTCGCCAAAGACCCTACCACTCTCACTCTAGCCGACTTCGAGCAGCAGCTCCTAGCAGCAGAAAAGGTTTTCCTCGCTGTAGGTGCTGCTCGTGGCACTCCTCGCACTCCCCTCTTTGAGGGGTGCTCCCCCTCCCCTCTTGCCCCCTCCTACGCCTCTGCTGCTGCTGTCGACCTCCTTGGTGCTGAGAAGGTCGCAGCTGCTTCCGCTCCTAGTGGGAAGCGCAGCGGCACCAGGGGCGGCAAGGGTGGCAAGGGTGGTGGAGGTGGCGGTGGAGGGAGCGGTGGTGGAGGCGGCGGGGGTGGTGGAGGTGGTGGGGGTGGTCGTGGGGGTGGAGGAGGTGGGTGGGGCGGCGGTGGGACCCGGAGCGGTGGAGGAGGCAGCGGCGGCAGTGGAGGAGGTGGCAGCGGTGGTGGTGACGGTGGTGGGGGCTGGAGTGCGGCCGGCCCGAAGGGGAGCTCCAGTGATGACCAGGGGCAGCAGCAGCAGCAGCAGCAGCAGCCCCAGCAGCAGCAGCAGCAGCAGCAGCAGCGTCAGCGCCAGACCCCCACGTCTCAGCAGCTTCATGACTGGTACGCTCAGCGTGGGGCGTCTGGGGGTCCTGGTCGCTGCCCCTATGTCATTCGCGCCGGTCCCCGCGCTGGTCGCCCATGCAACGGTTTTCACACTGAGTACCGCTGCTTCGCTAGGCTTAGCGACGCCTGGCGCGCCAAGTTTCCTGAGGCTACTGAGTTCCCCAACTGGGCAGACCTGCTTAGGCGTGATGTTCCTATCTTTGATCTTGACTATGATGCGATTCTTGCTGCTATGTATGCATTGACTGTTAGTGCTGAGGGTGACTGCTACTTGTGTGTCCCGCCTGACCCAGGTATGACTGCAGCCCTAGGTGCTCGTGAGTCTGCTCTCTCTGGTACTGCGCCTGCTGAGGCTTTGCACACCTTCACGCTTGACTCAGGTGCTTCCCGCTGTTTCTTTCGCGACAGCACCACAGTCACTCCCCTCCCTGCACCTGTCCCTGTCTCACTGGCTGACCCCTCTGGGGGCCCAGTGCTTGCACGGTCCAGTACTGTGCTCCCGTGTCCGGCGGTCCCGTCCGGTGAGCTGTCAGGTCTCCACATCCCCTCGTTCTCTACGAACCTGGTGAGCAACGCCGTCCTTCAGGATCATTGGGTTGACACGTTTACTCCCAGAGGAGAGCGTGTGGCGATCTGTACGTGCTCTAGGACTAACCGCCACCTGGCCACGTTCACACGTGCGCCAGGGTCCAGTCTGTACACCCTCACCACTGTGTCGCGCTACACCCCTGTGTCTCCTCAGCTGTACGCGTCCGCTCAGGTAGCTACCCAGTGTGAGTGTCGCCGTCTGTCGCACCAGACTCTCCTCTAGCACCACCGCCTTGGTCACCCCTCCCAGCCGCGCCTTCGTGGCATGCACTCTCGCCTCTTGGTCTCTGGTCTTCCCAGGTCTCTGCCTGCCCTCCCTCCCTCGCCTGCCCTGCCCTGCATTCCTTGCGTCGAGGGGCGGCAGCGCGCCGCTCCTCACTCCTCGTTCCCTCCCACAGAGGCTCCACTTAGTAGACTCTCCACCTGGACGTGTGGGGCCCAACCCGCGTCCTGGGGCAGGGCCGCAAGCGGTACTTCCTGCTGGTCGTCGACGACTACACGCGTTACACTACGGTCTTCCCCTTGCGCAGCAAGGGTCAGGTCCCTGATGTTCTGATCCCCTGGATCCGCGCTGTTCGTCTCCAGCTCCGCGAGCGGTTCCGCACGGACTTTCCTGTCCTGCATCTGCACTCTGACAGAGGTGGTGAGTTCTCCTCCGACCTCTTGCGAGCCTTCTGTGCGGAGCACGGCATCCGCTAGTCGTTCACGCTTCCGGCCTCTCTGCAGCAGAATGGGGTTGCTGAGCGCCGCATTGGATTAGTCATGGAGGTCGCTCGTACCTCCATGATCCATGCGGCTGCCCCCCATTTTCTGTGGCCGTTTGCGGTCCGGTACGCCGCGCATCAGCTCAACCTCTGGCCCCGTGTCTCCTTGCCGGAGACCTCGCCCACACTGCTGTGGACGGGGGAGGTTGGCGATGCGTCGCGCTTCCGGGTCTGGGGTGCTCGTGCCTTTGTCCGCGATACCACCGCAGACAAGCTCTCCGCTCGCGCCATTCCCTGCGTCTTCCTTGGTTTTCCTCCTGACGCACCTGGCTGGCACTTTAACGACCCCGCCTCGCGCCGTGTCTTTGCGTCCCAGGACGTCACCTTTGACGAGTCAGTCCCCTTTTACCGTCTCTTTCCCTACCGCACTGCCGCTCGCCCCCCCCCTCCGCTCTTTCTCGCTCCAGGTCCTCCCCAGGTAGACCCCCTCCCCGCGCCAGGTCCTGCTCCTTCAAGTGTTTCTCAGGTAGACCCTCCTGTGCCTGAGCCTGTTGAGGTCACTGGTGACTCCGGTCCTGCTGGGGGTGGTCCTGCTCGGGGTGCTGCGTCTGGGGGTGCTGAGTCTGGGGGTGCTGAGCCTGAGGGTGCGGAGCCTGGAGGTGCTGAGCCTGGAGGTGCTGAGCCTGGGGGTGCTGAGTCTGGGGGTGCTGAGCATGAGCGTGTGGGGCCTGGGGGTGCTGGGCCTGGAGGTGCTGAGCTTGAGCGAGAGGAGACTGGAGGTACTACGCCTGGGGGTCTTGCGTCTGGGGGTGCTGAGTCTGAGGGTGCTGAGCCTGGGGGTGCTGAGCCTGAGCGTGAGGAGCTTGGGGGTGCTGAGTCTGGGGGTGCGGCGCCTGAGGGTACTGAGACTGCTTGTGCGCGGTCTCCTTGGAGTGGCCGCCTTCGTCCGCGTGCGCCTCTCTCCCCACAGCAGCTGCACGAGTGGTACGCTCGCCGTCAGGGTCGCGCTGCTGGAGCTCGGGGCTCTGCCGCTGGAGGTACTTCTACTAGCGTCCCTAGAGTTGGGGGTGTTATCTCTCAACAGGGGGTGCCGGTTCAGAGGGTACTGGGGCTGGTGCGAGAGGTGCCGACGACGCTGGAGCCGTTGGGCCTGAGGATACTGGAGCTGGGAGTACTGCGGGTACTTTGTCTGCTGGAGGTGCTGGAGCCGCTAGACTCGGAGGTGCTCGTACTGGAGGTACTAGAGCTGCTGGGGCTGGAGGTGCTGCGTCTGGGGGTGCTACTGCTGGAGACCCTGGGACTGGAGGTGCCAGTTCTGGGGGTGCTACTGCTGGAGACACTGGGACTGGAGTTGCCGGTTCTGAGGGTGTTGCTGCTGGTGACGCTGGTACTGGCGGTGCTGGCGCTGGAGGTTCTGCGGCTGCTGGTGGTGCTGGCGCTCGAGGAGTTGGTTCTGGAGGGTTTGGAGCTGCTAAAGGTTCTGGAGCTGCTGGAGGCACTGGAGCTACTGGTGCTGGTGGCACTGCTGCGCAGCGACTGTTCTTCTCTCCGCCGTCACCGTCATCTCTGCCGCCTCCTGACACAGTGCTTCGCCAGGTTCTTACCCTGCCGTCTTCCACTGGCCTACCGTTACAGCCAGGCTCCCCCCTGCCTGCTCCCTCTCCTTACACTGAGAAGCCAGGAGGTCTCACTGAGAAGCTAGACAGGAGGTCTTACTGAGCGTCGCGAGCCTGCATCCCGTTCTATCTCGCCTGTTCCCACTTGTCGCACTGGTCGCACTGGTCGTGTTAGTCGTAAGCGACCTCCTCCTGTCCCTGGCACGCACATTATGGCACTTCGTCCTTCCTCTGTTCCACAGCGTGTTCCTCTGCCGTCTCCTCCTGCGTCTTCTTTGCCTGACGTTCCGGACTCTGAGTCTGACCGGTTTCGTGCTGAGCACCCTACTGTCACGCGTCTGCTAGCCACTGTTGTCACTGACCCTTCGTTTGAGTCTGCTGCTGCGTCTGCCTTAGTCGCTGAGCTTGTTGACTTTGCTGCTGCCTGTCGTCTAGACTACGCTGCTAGCCTTGTTGCTGAGTTTGAGTCTGTCTGTCCTCCGTCCGTCAGGGGTGAGTGTGCTCTTGGCACGGACGTCTTTGAGGACAGGCACGAGGACCTTGAGTGTCTTGCAGCCACTGCGCCTCATCTCGTGGCCATGCTGCTTGCCCCTGAGGGAGACCCGGATGCTGTAGACATCCCGACCCCGCGCTCTTACGCTGAGGCGATCGCGGGTGAGTACTCCTCTCAGTGGCAGGCAGCCATGGACGCAGAGATGGCATCCTGGAAGTCCACAGGCACTTACGTCGATGAGGTTCCCCCTCCCGGGGCGAACATCGTCGATGGCATGTGGATTTTCAAGGTGAAGCGGCCGCCGGGTTCTCCGCCTGTCTTCAAGGCTCGCTACGTTGCTCGAGGCTTCAGTCAGCGAGAGGGAGTTGACTTCTTCCAGACCTTCTCCCCCACCCCAAAGATGACCACTCTTCGGGTGCTGCTGCACGTTGCCGCTCAGCGTGACTACGAGCTTCACTCTCTTGACTTCAGCACAGCCTTCTTACAGGGCAGCCTGCACGAGGAGATCTGGTTGCGCCGCCCACCTGGCTTCACTGGGTCGTTCCCTCCTGGTACCCAGTGGAGCCTCCGGCGGCCAGTCTACGGTCTCCGCCAGGCACCTCGTGAGTGGCACGACACACTGAGGACGACACTTGCGGCTCTTGGGTTTGCTCCTTCGACTGCTGACCCGTCGCTGTTTCTGCGCACCGACACTTCGCTGCCGCCGTTCTACATCCTCGTGTACGTCGACGATTTGGTCTTTGCCACTGCTGACACTGAGGCTCTCGCCCTGGTGAAGTTGGAGCTGCAGAAGAGACACACGTGCACAGAAGTGGGTGAGCTGCGCAGCTACCTTGGCTTGCAGATCACCCGGGACAGAGCACGCCGCACCATTACACTGACTCAGTCACACATGGTGCAGCAGGTCCTTCAGCGCTTCGGCTTCACTTGGTCCTCCCCACAGTCCACTCCTCTGGCTACAGGTCACTCCCTCTCAGCTCCACCTTCGGACGAGTCCGTAGAGCCGAGTGGTCCTTACCCAGAGCTAGTGGGCTGCCTCATGTACCTGATGACCTGCACTCGACCTGACCTTGCGTACCCTCTTGGCCTTCTAGCTCGCTACGTGGTTCCTGATAGGCACCGAAAGGTGCACTGGGATGCTGCAAAGAGGGTACTGCGCTACCTGTGCAGTACATCAGGCATGGGGCTCGTGCTTGGAGGACGGGGTGACGTTGTCCTCACTGGACACTCTGACGCGTCTTGGGTTGACGACCAGGCTACGCAGCGGTCGTCACAGGGTTACACCTTCAGTCTTGGCTCTGGCTCTATTTCTTGGCGGTCTACACGCTCGTCTTCTGTTCTCAGCTCGACGTTCGTCCCGCGGGATCGCGGGTAAAATTTCCGTCGTCGGGACAAATTTGGGCGTTGGCGTTGTCACCGTTATCGTCGTTAAGTGCCATTGTAGCCGCGTTGTGAGTGAAAATGTCTGAAAGGAGTGTTGACGGAGACTGAAAGCGAGGTAAGAACTTCAACTTCGCCAGCTTGGAATTGGGAAGTCGAAACTAGACTAAGCCGTTTGAAAAATGAGAGATGTGGGTGGAGGGAAATAATCTCCAGCCCACGTTTTGTACTCCAAAACGTGCGTTTAGCGCGGTTCGCCGATGTCCATTGCTACATTACAAGCCGCTTCGCTTTCAAAATACATAATTTTGAAAAGCGTTACAGCTTTTAAAAAAAATCATTTAATGAGAACAAACACCCACCTAAGAATCAAACACCCCCCTAAGGAGAGGTAAAAAAACCCCCTAGCTTGCACTAGCTAGGGGATTAGGGTACCGCACATCGTTGAAACCTAATGAACGAGTTGTACTCGTAATGCATGTAGACCTATAAAGATATTCTTAAAAACAGTGATCCTATCAGAGTTAGCCAATACTGGGGGCAACGCGAACGATATCCTCCCTATCAATGAAAACTCGAACGCGGTCAGTGCGATAATCCTTCGTCACAGGACGTCCATACGGGATAACTTTCACGTCCCATTTACACTCTGGCATTGATGACAAGATGTAGTTGCGAGCCTTTTCGCCCGTCATGCCAACCACCTCTGGCCAAGAGGTCTTGCTGCCATCGGTAAAAAGCGGGAGGATAGGGGAAAATAGGGTTTGAGTAGGGAGCGGTAAGAGATGGGAAGACTCTTATGGAAAGTGGGAATGCGGTGGGAAGGGAGGAGAAAGGGTTTGATGAATTTGTGGACGAAGTTGTGGTTAGTGGCAAGAGAGAGGATTACATCAGGGGAGAGCGGAGAGGAGAGGGGAGACGGAAGAGAGGGGATATGGGGGGAGAGGTGGGAGAGGGTGAGACAGGGAGGGGAGGATGGGAGAGGAAGGAGGTGAGAAGAGGGAAAGGTGGGAATACTAGGGGAGAAGAGGGGAAAGGTGGGAATACTAGGGGAGAAGAGGGGAAAGGTGGGAATACTAGGGGAGAAGAGGGAAAGGTGGGAATACTAGGGGAGAAGAGGGAAAGGTGGGAATACTAGGGGAGAAGAGGGAAAGGTGGGAATACTAGGGGAGAAGAGGGAAAGGTGGGAATACTAGGGGAGAAGAGGGAAAGGTGGGAATACTAGGGGAGAAGAGGGAAAGGTGGGAATACTAGGGGAGAAGAGGGAAAGGTGGGAATACTAGGGGAGAAGAGGGAAAGGTGGGAATACTAGGGGAGAAGAGGGAAAGGTGGGAATACTAGGGGAGAAGAGGGAAAGGTGGGAATACTAGGGGAGAAGAGGGAAAGGTGGGAATACTAGGGGAGAAGAGGGAAAGGTGGGAATACTAGGGGAGAAGAGGGAAAGGTGGGAATACTAGGGGAGAAGAGGGAAAGGTGGGAATACTAGGGGAGAAGAGGGAAAGGTGGGAATACTAGGGGAGAAGAGGGAAAGGTGGGAATACTAGGGGAGAAGAGGGAAAGGTGGGAATACTAGGGGAGAAGAGGGAAAGGTGGGAATACTAGGGGAGAAGAGGGAAAGGTGGGAATACTAGGGGAGAAGAGGGAAAGGTGGGAATACTAGGGGAGAAGAGGGAAAGGTGGGAATACTAGGGGAGAAGAGGGAAAGGTGGGAATACTAGGGGAGAAGAGGGAAAGGTGGGAATACTAGGGGAGAAGAGGGAAAGGTGGGAATACTAGGGGAGAAGAGGGAAAGGTGGGAATACTAGGGGAGAAGAGGGAAAGGTGGGAATACTAGGGGAGAAGAGGGAAAGGTGGGAATACTAGGGGAGAAGAGGGAAAGGTGGGAATACTAGGGGAGAAGAGGGGAAAGGTGGGAATACTAGGGGAGAAGAGGGAAAGGTGGGAATACTAGGGGAGAAGAGGGAAAGGTGGGAATACTAGGGGAGAAGAGGGAAAGGTGGGAATACTAGGGGAGAAGAGGGAAAGGTGGGAATACTAGGGGAGAAGAGGGAAAGGTGGGAATACTAGGGGAGAAGAGGGAAAGGTGGGAATACTAGGGGAGAAGGGGTAAGAGGAAAGGGAAGAGGTCGGAAGAGAGGGGTACATGGGGGGAGAGGAGGTGAGTGGGTGACAAAGGGGGAAAGGCGGGGAAAGGAAGGAGGTGAGAAGGGGGAAGAGGAAGGAAGATAAGGGGAGAGGAGAAGACACGAAAAAAGAGGAGATAGTGGGGAGGGTCGGAAAGAGGCGTGGGAATAGACAGTAACAGGGATGGGAAGGTGGGGCTGGGAATAAAGGTCACAATGCGAACTAATCACAGATCTAAAACACGTACTGCATGTAAAAGCAACACACACACACACACACACACACACACACACACACACACACACACACACACCCCCACCACACACACAGAGCAGATTCTCTAACTATTTATGCAACCCACCTGCTACAGGTCTCCTCAGCAATTTTCTTCGGTCGACGCGGCTTATTGGCGGCGCCGCCACCGCCATTCTTCGGTGCATTTCCATTCGCAGTGCCGTTCCCCCTCTTTGGCCCCCCTGCAGCAGTGCCGTTCCCCCTCTTCGGTCCCCCTGCAGCAGTGTCGTTCCCCCGATGGTGCCTCTTGTTCGGATGCCCACCCTTCGTTCGGTTCCCTGCCGCTACCGTCCCATTCGCCCCATGGCGCGGGTGGCGGGGAGGCGCGGTGGTGTTTACCCCCTTGGCCTGTTCCATCCCCCCTCTAGGCGGAAGAGTGCGCGAGGATGCGAGGAGCGGAATCAGCGCAACGGAGACGAGTAGGAGGAGCAGGAGGAGAGAGGGGCGCGGAATCTCCATGGTGATTTTACCGGGCGAGCGTTCTGAAAGCGGTTCGGTGAATGTAACGAGCGCCCTTGCTGCTTGGGATTTCGTGCGCGAAGACCTGAGGGGATTGGAGGGGAAGTAGCATGTGCGATGAGGGGCATAAGTGAACCATCCAAGCCGCAGTGACTCTCAACCTCGGCTAGCCGAGCCTTTGTGACTCTCAGCCTCGAATAAACGAGCTTCTGTGGCTCTCACCTCGGCTAGCCAATCCTCTGTGGCTCTCAGCCTCGGCTAGCCGAGTCTCTGTGGCTCTCAGCCTCGGCTAGCCGAGCCTCTGTGGCTCTCAGCCTCGGCAAGCCGAGCCTCTGTGGCTCTCAGCCTCGGCTAGCCGAGCCTCTGTGGCTCTCAGCCTCGGCTTGCCGAGCCTCTGTGGCTCTCAGCCTCGGCTCGCCGAGCCTCTGTGGCTCTCAGCCTCGGCTCGCCGAGCCTCTGTGGCTCTCAGCCTCGGCAAGCCGAGCCTCTGTGGCTCTCAGCCTCGGCAAGCCGAGCCTCTGTGGCTCTCAGCCTCGGCTCGCTGAGCCTCTGTGGCTCTCAGCCTTGGCAAGCCGAGTCTCTGTGGCTCTCAGCCTTGGCAAGCCGAGTCTCTGTGGCTCTTAGCCCCGTCTAGCTGAGCCTCTGTAGCTCACAGCCTCGGCTAGCCGAGGTTCTGTAGTGCTCAGCCTCGGCTAGCCGAGGTTCTGTAGCTCTCAGCCTCGGCTAGCCGAGATTATGAGACTTTGAGCATTAGATAGCCGCAAATCATGCCGCAGACGAAGTCGCGATGAGGAGAAGGATGGGAGGCGGATGGGAGAAGGATGAGACAATGTTGCGACGACGATCGAACAAGCATGGGACGAGGATGTCACGAGGATGAGACGAAGCAGGAAGGGGAGGGTAGGGGCGGGGGAGAGGTGGAGAGGCGGAGGTAGCTGTCAATCCTGACTTCACATGGATCGCTGTACCTACGATAAGGTATTTAACAGCTTAGCTGACAGTTACGTAGACTCAAAGTCGTAATACCTGCGGTAGAATGCCGAAACCCTCGGATCTGAGTCGCCGACGGAAAAGAGACGACGCAACGCGGCGCAATGTTGATGCTTCTGCTGCGAAATGGTCCTGCCGCGGGGAAAGGGAAATTGGGTCAAAGGGAAGGGTGGGGAGTGGGGGTGGGAGTATATTCAACTTCTGCCCCAGCTGAGACATGTATTGGGGGAGGCTGGAGGGAGATTGGAGGGATGAAGAGAGAACGATGGGCGGGGGCTTGCCGAGGTCGTCTCAGAGCTACGAGATCAACTTGCGCGGGCCAAGCCGACAAGACGGGGACCGGGACTGATAGGAACAGATTCCGTCTGCCTAGACGACAGATATAAGCCACGGGAGATTGCGAGAAGAAGAGGGGGGGAGGAACGAGGTCAGGAGCCGCACACGGTGCCACGCGTTGGTGATGAAGAGCGGAGAAGAACGAGATTCTGTTGGCAATGCGGGAAGAATCGAACCGGAGCCGCCTAAAACGTTGATTCGGCGCCTACAAGGTTTAGAACGTCGATGCAGTAGCTGCCGCGCTGCTAGACGTGGTGCTCTTATTGAACTTAAATTGTTGATGCCTTTAGTCGCCAACGTAGTACCTCTATAAATGCGACTATCTAACCGAAAGAGTTCGTATGGCGCACGGAAATGTAAGAACATGCAAGAAGCTGCTATGAAAGTGGGTATACTTCTGTTTACGAATCGCTAGGAGGAAACACAGTTTGACTAGTCTAAGTCATGCTACGCTTTCTGAAGCTTGGGGGTGATTTTGCCCCAGTTCAACCTTTCCCCAATCACCAGTGTTGTTGGGACTCGGGATTGATTGGGACGTGACGTGAGGTTCGTGCCTGATTTGGCGCACCTCCCATTGGCGCGCCGCGATGAGCGGCTCCAGGCTGACTTCGATCTGCAAAGCAAATGTGACTGGGAAAACAGCCGGTGACGGTGACATTTGCGCGGCACCCAGTTTTCAGAACTGTTTCGAGGGTGCCGTCACAAAATCACGTTCCGTCAATTTCAACTGAGGAAAACAGCGGGAGGTGCCGCCGTCACTGTGATCTGCGATACACACGATGCCCGGTTGAGCCCCCCGACCTCGCCTTACCCTCTGGGCTTATTCGCTTGAAGATTTCGTCAATTCGCATCGGGCAAAAAGGGCTTATAAAAAACAATTGTAACTCAACGCTGACTGTTTGACTTTGGTCTCGTCAGTCAAACTTCAAATTCTGTGGTTCGTATTGGTCGACGTGCTTGTAACGTGGGTGCAACGTCACGGCACAAAACCCACGGGTGCAAAGTTTCCATCCTGTGAAGGCAGTTTCGCGTGCAGGTGGTGAGCATCAGGTGTACTGTGTTGTCGGTCAGCAAACACGTTGGCCAAGTCTCTCGACTCTTGAGTCGAGAAAAAAACGCCTTGCCCTGTGAGAGTGGAAACCAGGAAACCAGGCGATTTGGACGTGAGCTGAATCACCCTTTTTCCCGCCAACAAACATAGCTCGTTGGGCCAGCAAAACATATTTGACTGGGTCCCATTCCGGGCTGGGGAAAAATTGCTGCTTTGTACAAGCGATTGAAAGTCAACGGGGTCAGGCACATACGATCTGGCGCGTCTCGAGAAAGCCTTCCCAATGGCTACCACGAGAGAAACGGAAATAAAGAAAATAAAACTTGCTGCAAATAAAAAGCGCACTGTAAGATTAATGCAACAGCACAAGTGGATTTGGTTAAAGCGAAAGGAAACAGACGATGGATCTGGCGCATTGTGGGGGAAATAGGTGAAAACCAAGATCCGTTGTTAACGTCTGAACGTCTGTCATGTGTGATAAATTTAACAAGTTACCGGTATGTGAAAATCAGTTATTAAACAGTACCACTATGTTTTGTATTAATATCAATTCTCCACATAACTCAATGTCTGTGGATGTTCCAAGTCTGATGGTAGGCATCTGGCCCAAATACACCCACAAAATACATACAACAAGCCCGGTGGCACATTGTACACGAGATAATGCTCCTTTAGCTGTTGCTGCGCCTTGTGCCGTTGTTGATGTTCCGAAACATCCCTCTTGCTGTTCCTTTCGCTCGACTCACTCCCTCTCGCCTTCACTTAACCTCCTCCTTCCTTCTCCCCTCTCCAACCAACCACTCCATCCAGAGAAGGGGGAATGCCAAGGGAATTGAGAGAAGGTAAAGATGAGAGTGCGGAAACTAAGAGGTGAGTGAAACGCAGATATCACCTGCCACTTGACGCCCCCTCATCCCATCTCCCCCCCTTGTCTCTTATCCCAGCTCTCCCCCCCTCTGCCCCTTTCCTTGGACCAACCACTGGATCCAGAGCAGAGCGAGCGTCTGCATCAACATATGAGAGATTGCAGGAGCATGAGGGATGCGGGTTGCGCATATCAACCAGTTGCAGTCAACAGATGGTGGTGATGAGAGTGAGTTGGGCGGGGACTGGAGAGGAGGATGCATAATAGGAGTGTGAGGAGGCTGGTTGTACAGGGCAATCAATTACAGTCAGCAGGTGCTGGTGCTGAGAGCGAGTTGGGTGGGAACTGGAGAGGAGGTACGGCGGAAGGGTAGGAGGAGGTATAGGCAGAGGGATGGCTGGAGGAGCGTGAGAGAGAGGTGGGACGTGCAGATCAATCAAGTGGAGTCAGCTAGTGGTGGTGATGGGAGCGAGTTTGGTGGGGACTGGAGAGGAGAGGAGGTAGGGCGGAAAGTTACCTGTGAGGGGAAGAGTTGGGAAGGAGAGGAGAATGGAAGGGAACAGAGGAGATGGTAAGGGCATGTGAGGAGCTGAAAAAGAGGAGGAGGGGGAGGGAGGCATATGTGAGTGACTCGTGGAATGAAGAAACAAAGGGATTGAGAGGTGCTTAGAAAGGAACACGCATACTCATACTGCACATGTTTCCCTGCATCCATCCAGACATGTACACCACACACATGTGCAAAGGCGCTTCTGAGGCGCTTCAGGAAATCCTATATAGAATTCTCAAAAGCGATTTGCACATGTTTCGCTACATCCAGAAGAGTTGGCAATGCAAGTGAGAGCAGACGTTCTGCTTTGTTCTCAACCCTTGCAAGTGGGTTGAGAGCGGTGGAATTCTCCAGAATTCTCTTGCCAATGGGTTGAGAGCGGTGGATTTCTCTGGAATTCTCTTGCCAGTAGGTTGAGAGCGGTGAATTTCTCTGAAATTCTTTTGCCAGTGAGAGCAGGCGTTCTGGCCACAACCACCATCCTTTCCGGTGCTGGGTGCTCGGTATCGGTGATGTTGATATTGACATTGCTGCAACAACTAGCAACAGGCCCACAACCGCCATCCTCGGTGGTGTTGGTTATCAGTGTCATAGGACAGGGCGAGCACGTGAGAGCATGGTTCATGGATCGAGCTGCTATGTGGCAGCTCATCACTGGCTTCTGTTGCTGCTGATACTATATCCCCTGCGGCTCCTACCACTCCCACTCCTCTTGGTCGTCCGCAAAAGAACCTTCTACGTGGTTTCTTAAACGAGAGGTAGGGCAAAAGAGGGGGGGGGGGGGGGGGGGGGGGTACCCACACAGTTACCACCGTTGAATGCTGTGAGCGGGATGGGGACGTGAGTATGCACGGAAGGGGTTGGTGGTGGGGGAGGGGACAGGGGAGGGGGGGGGGGGGACTTGGGAGTTATTAGTGTGCCCCAGTTACTGCTGTTTCTTGAGGAATGTTCATCAGTCAGTAGGGCGAGGCGTATGTGCTGTCCCAGATACCAATGATAAAGCAGTGAGCTGGGGTGGGAGGCAGGGGACTTAAAGGCTTTAGGTAAGGGCTTTTGAAGGACTATGTATAAGTCAGCAGGTCAGGGCACATGACGTGTCCCAGTTACCAATGTGCCTTATGTATGTATCTCAATAGTGCTGTATGTATGGGGTTTTGGAAGGACTGTTCATAAGCGAGGAGGGCAGGGTGACTCTTAAGTTGACTCAAGAGTAATCTTAACGGTGCTTTATGTATGGGGTTTTCAAAGGGCTGTTCATAAGTCACCAGGCTGGGCCGCATGTCCTGTCCCAGTTACCGATGTTGAAGGGAGGAGTGGGAGTGAGCTCGGGGGAGGGCGGGCATGGATAAGCAGGGAGGCGGGAGTGGGAGTGAGCATTGTCAATGGCCATAAGTCAGCAGGGTGGGGCAAGCGGGCAGGTACACAGGTAAGGCAGTGAGTCGGGAGTGGGGACACGGGTAAGCAGGGAGGGAGGAGTGGAAGTGAGCAGTGTGAATGGTCATAAGTCAGCAAGGGCGAAGCAAGTGTGCAGGTACAGCTGCTAAGGCAGTGGCGGGTGGTAGCAGAGAAGTGGTGGCTGTGTGGTTGCAAGGCAGGCATAGCGGTGTCTCGAGGGGAGGAGCATGAGGTGAGAAGAAGTGGTCTTGGGGATGGGAGAAGGTGTGGATACAGAGGAAGGAAAAGGTGTGTGTGGGGAGTGGGGGAGAGGGGGAGAGTAGGGGAGATAAAAGTGAAGGTATGAAGTTGGTCATGCAAGACAATGGAATATGCCAAAGCGGTCAAGCCAAGCAGGGCCGGGTGGTGGTTGCAGTGGTAGCAAGGCAGTCATAGCGCTGACCCTAGGGGAAGAGCAGGAGGTGAGAAGAAGGACTTTGGGGGATGGGATAAAGTGTGGATACAAAGGAAGGAGGGTGTGTGGGGGGGGGAGTGGAAAGAAGGGGGTGGGGGTGGTTGGAAGGGGGGAGAGAAGGGGAGATGAGGGTGAAAATATGAAGCTAGTCAGCCAAGTCAATGGACTTGGTGGCACTGGTCAGGTCACTAGAGTCAAGTCAAGTCAATCCAGTAAAGTAAATCGTATCAAGCAAGTCAACGGAACATGTGGAAGCGGTCAAGTCAGTAAAGCCAAACAAAGAAAAAAAATCAAAGTCAATCTAGCCAAGAAGTAAAGTGAATAGGAGAGAAGAGTCAAGTCAATTTAGTCAAGCCGGTAAAGTCAAGCGTTTCAAGCCAGTCAACAAAAGAGCACTAGAAAGAGACAACAAAAAGAAGCCGCACGTTGACCAATTTTTCTCGAATGCCACGCACAAGAAAGTGACTGTAGAGAAGGTGACTGTACGTAATAAAAGAACCTTATTAGTGACAATATCGAAAGCATGACCGCAGAATGTAAAGGCGTAAGTTGATATACCAGGGGAAGGGCAAGCAAGCAAAATCTCCTAGCATGGCATCGCCTCCTGACAGCGTGGCAAGTTTGCTGTCCACGTCATCGTTGACTAGGCGATGCAGCAGGGAGGCTGACACGGCACGGCGTCATGGACATTGGAGGTATACCACCGCACTTGCTGCGTTGGGCCAATGGGGAAGCAGACGCCACACAGGGGATTGGGGGGGAAAGGCTGGTGGGGAAAGAAAGAATTTCCGAGACAAAAAGGATGAATCAAAAGGGAGGAGGTGGCACGAACATGGGAGGAGAGGAAGGGAGGGGGGAAGAGGGGTGGTGGTGGAGGGGTAGCATGTTCAGTTATCGATCCTCCCTCAACCAACAACCAACAATAAGAAACTTTTCTCATGACTCCCCTTCAATATAGTCGCACACCCCCTTACCCCCCCTCCCCCAACCCCCCTAACCCCCCGACCCAGCTCCCCCACCCTTTCCCCCTTTCCCCTCTCCTTCCCTCTCTGGTTTTCTCCCCGCCTCATGCGGAAGCACGTTCAGCCATTGATCCTCTCTCGATCGCAAAAGCATCTCCTGCTCCCGACCCGCGGCCAGCCCCACTGTTCCCGTTGCCCTCCTTTATTCTGCCGTCGGTGAGAATGCTGACCTGATTTGCTCATCTGCGCTTCCGTCCGCGTCCGATGTAGTGCGCGACAAATCACGTCATCCCACGAGCGACCGCATGTGATTCACGTGTTTCGCCCCCGAAAGACGGACCAGATGGTTTCCTTATGCGTTTCTAGAGCGACGCGACTGGA